TTTTTTTTTTCTTAACTTTTATAGGTGGCGCACCTGATGTGGTGAATTCACAGGTGAGAATTCCGTTCCTAATAAACAAAATGACAAACTTTATTGCAGCTGGTCCTTTTATGATGTAACTCGCACACGTCTTACGCCCTGTGCCAATACCAGAACCTGAAATGGTGAACCCACTGGTGTTGCCTGGGCAATAAGGGGATGACTTGTTGGGGTTACCAACAGTCTGAGAAGGACTAGCTTTAGCGTAGATTAAGTTTTCCTTTTCATATGTCCATGTAAACTTTTTTTTTTTAAATTTCTCATTTGATTCCTTGCAGGACTAATGTGAATTCTTAAAGTTCTGCTCCCTTGAACATACTGAAGCTGGTATGTTTTTGTATTTTCAACTTGAGTTAAATGTGAACTAGTCGGTGTGATGACTGAATTACCGCCCCAGTCTGATTTAGCTGACTGAATGGTACCCTCTGACCTCAATAAATGGTTTCATTTTAAATTTGTACTTGTGACTTTCATTTAGATTTTTATTTTTTTCCCCTCAGGTAGTTCCATGACTGACCATAAAGGTTTGTATTTTCATATTGGCTTAATTTATTAGTTGTATTTTTAAATGATGACTTATATCGCCCCAGTCTGATGTGTTATGACTGATTGATAATTCTGATTAAATGTAGACTATTTAAAGGTACTGGTTTAAGAGACTTTTAGTGACTCTCTTTATTCCCCCTCCAGGTCACTTAAATTGCATCTGAGAAGTTGAACTGGCTGAAACCTGATGTTCATCCCTGTACTATAGATCTGCTGAACTGAAGTGTTTACTGGTGTTAGTAACTGGCAGTGACTTTTCTTTTGAGTTTTTATTAAGATTGCAAAATAAATGGCTCTTTTGTATTTGCAGTTTCAAATAGTTGCATCCCCGAGTCATCACCTTTTGCATTGATGTTTGTATCGGATTTTCAGTGATCTAAATAAATGTGATCCTTTTAAATGCAATTCTGCTTGGTCAAACTTTATGCGTCATGAACAGTTAATTGAGTTATAAAACTTAATGGTGTTGGTATGTAAAGCTTAACACTCACAGCACTAGAAGTCGTGTTGGGTCAAGAGAATTTGTTAGTTCACTTAAAAGGCTTTTGTCACAACACCAAAAATGGTTAGTGTGATTCGTCATGAGAAAATGTATCGCATTAATCTAATTTTGTTAATTGTGCATTAATTTCTCAATAGAAACTAACTTGTTTCTCTGAGCTAAGATTTGAACGAAGACAATTAAGAACAAACTGAGCTAAGGTCTACAAAGCACCAAGGTTATTTGCTACCCTTTAAAGGGCATTTTAAGTGTTTGGGGGGCAGATTCATGAATATTATAAATAAAACCTGGCTAGATGAGAAGCAGCCGCCCTCTCTAGATTTTCAAAGAGGAAGGCTAGAGACTGACCTGTAATTACGTTAAAGCAGCAGTTTGTAATAGAAAAAATGACCAGAGACCAGGTTTGTTGAGGCAGAATGTATTCTTGGCAGACATGTATCTTAATGCAGCTGAACACTCGGAGCTAGTTGCAAGTGGTGTTACAGTATACAAAGAAAACAATTAGCTTCCATTTCCAACCTTCTAAAGCAAATAGCTTTCAAAAACACACTACCTGTTGGAAGTACAGCTACTTAGACATCCATCTTAAACATTTACATTGCATACATTCAGTCCAACAATTTTTTTTTATTGTCCATCTCATATTTTAAACCATTCAGTCATTAGTCAGCTGTAAAGATCCGAGCTGCTATATCGTCAAGTAGCCAGTCCACACCTGTTAGCAGGTTCTCACCTGTAACAGCACTGCATCCCACAATGCACCAGTGATGGGTCTTAATGTCATCAAGGGTTAAAACCTGGACAACGTTCAGAAAACGGCATATTCACAAATTCCTCCAACAGCAAGGCAGTTTCATTAAAATACAAAGACTGACCCTGTTTAACAAAAGACTCACCTCTCGAATGGCATCTTTTGATAAAGCACCAGGTAGGTCCTGTTTGTTGGCAAAAACTAACAGAGTGGCTCCCGCTAATCGCTATTCAAGAGAAATGCATTAATTATAAAGTGTAATACATATTATAAAGCTCACACATTACACTTTATTGATTCAAAACTATGGCCTTATGTTCACAAAAAAAACAGATGCTAAGTAAAGAAATGTCAAAATCTGACCATTTAATTTCAAACTCTATAGGTCCAAGATATTGGTCCTCTCACCTCCTCTAGTAATAAAGCACTCAGCTCTTTCCTGCAGTCCTCCAGTCTCAATCTGTCAGCGCTGTCCACTACCCACACCAGTCCATCTGTACTCTCAAAATAATTCCTCTAGTATGATCTCAATGACTTTTGGCCACCCACATCCCAGATATTCAGCTTAAACCTAGTCTCGGTGTGAAGAAAAAGAGAAACAAAAATATTGCACTTGGTTATGTATCACAGTAACATTGATCAACAAACAGTTTGTATATCTGTACATTCTCTATCTGTGTGTGTGTGTGTGTGTGTGTGTGTGTGTATATATAT